TATCGTTGTATATAATGCATTTATTAAATGTGCTTAGTACTATTGACAATTATTTATTTAAAGTACAATATTATACATAACGACAATTAAGATTTTTTTTTGGCCAGTAATACCCTCTATAATATAAGTAGAGATGTATGTTTCGAAAAAGATGACAAGTTAATATAAAAATGTGTAATATATTTATTAGATAAGTGATGATAATAATTAAAAAACACGTACAAAATATTCAAAATGACGTTTAAAATATAATAGCATGGAGTATATTCTTACGAGTAGACGCGGCCTTGCCCAGCCCGCCTAATTACATGGACTGGTTTGTAGTACCGGCCCGAATCGCCGGTTCACCGACTCGGCGAGCCACGGGCCGGTATGACCCATTTTTTTTATGAAAAAAAAATTAACACTGTGGCCCGCGGTCCAACTCGGTCCCGTCCAGACCGGCGGGACCAAAAACAAAAATAGAATTGGGATCGAATCGCGACTTTAATGGTCCGGTTCAATGAACCAACACGGTTCGCCGGGCTCGGCCCGTGAACATATCTACTTGCGAGACAAATTTTGTTCACTCCTTGAAGTCCACAAAAAAAATATCTCGAGCATGGGCACAAAGTTCTCAAAGCAAATCATGCACATGACAACAAATGAAGCAATTAAAGGCTTATCTATTCAATGAGTAGGTGGAGCATTTGTGATTTGTGAACAATGCATATAATTAATGATGGATCATGGGCCAAAGTTCACTAATCATACATTTATGGGTCTTTTTTGTGAAAATCATTGGCTCCATTGAAAAATTAATACCCCCTTTAATATATATAAAAAAAAAAAAAAAAAAATTGAACCAAACCAGTTATTATACCACCATGCTACAAAAATGTAATAGTTGATATAAGCTTTGACATAATTAATTTATCAAAAATTCTATGAAGCCATCGGATAATTTTCTTATAGAAGTCATCCTCCACTTAATGTGTTGATACATGTCCAAAGTGTATTTATTGCAGAATACGTGTCAATACACTATTTGCGAACAAATGTGAATGAACTTTATAAGTCGTGTCATCTGATGACTCCACAGCAAAGCTTATTTAATCTATATGTCTTGTGATTTTACGCATTATACAACTTTTAAAATCAACAAATTAAAAACTTACATCATTTATGTCAATCATTATCTCAAAATAGAATTAGATATTTTTAAAAAAAATCATTATATTATTTCATTTAAATTATAGGAAATATTGAATTTGCATAAGTATTTAAATTTATTAGTCCAGGAGGAAGTTACAATTGTGCCCCTTTTTTCGGACATCGTTGTTTTCATGATAACCCTACTAAAAAAAGGTTCGATTATTTGCCGTCTCCTCCCACCGCCACCGTGAAATCCTTTTTCCGGCGACATTACTTCTTTCCGGCGAACGGAGCCTTAAGAAAAACCCCAAAACATTTAGCGATGGCTGCTGTGCACGGTGAAAAATTGGGCGTTTTCAAAATAAATTGGAGAAAAGAAGACGAATATCTGTCCTCGTCGGAATCGGAAATCTGTTGAGGCTTTAGATTATTTGGATTCGAGGGACGATGCTGACGGCGGACTGATGGATGGCTCGTTCACCTTGCTGCACACGAGGCGGCCCAATGCTCATGGTGGGCTCCACTTGAGGCCCAACAACTCCTCTATTCAGCTGAGCCGATATCGTGTAATTCGCAGAGGATAGCGAGTCAATTCCACGCGTCGCCCTTGGAGGTAATTTCCTGATGGGTTTGTTTAATCGGATTGATTCTTTTTCTTTTTTCCTGGGTTTTGTGGAGGAAAAGGGATAAAGTAATAAGTAACTTTCTTGGTTTGTTTTTGGGTTGAATTATTGGTGTTGGTGTTCTTAGGGACGTTTTTGGGTTTTGAATGAAAATTGAAAAAAAAAAAGGCTACTTTTAGGGATTTTTGAGCTGAAAAGCAGCAATCTTTACATGTTTTTTCAATAATCCTTTCCTGTTGTGTTGGTTGTTGGACATTTTTTTCATGTTGTCTGTGTGCTATTTTATATTTGTTTTTTGCTGTGCTTCACTTGTTAGTGGTCTATTTACATGTGCAGGAGTGGGAAGGGAGATTCAGTGTTGGGATTTCGAATTTTGTGACCACTGCAATTCATGATAATGTTCGTGAGATGGCCATCGGCAAGACTAAAACGACTCAGAAGCCGGATCGTGACTGTCGAGCAGGTATATTGTGGGGTGTTAATTTATTATTAACACACTTGTGGCATCTAGCACATTTGTTTCTTGCTGGCCAATATCATCTTTTGGTTTTGCTGATAAATATATTCTACTTCATATGATTTGGAAATTTTGTGTTCGGTTGTGGGGTAGTATATTAAATTCTAGTGCTTCTTCTATTAGTGAAGTTTCTAGAAAAAAATATATCAAACGACGCAACGCCACCTTGGGTCGCTATGGAAACAGCCTCCTTGTATAATTACAAGGGTAAGGTTTGCGTACAACTGACCCCCAGACCCCAACTTGTTGGGAATATACTGGGTATGTTGATGTTGTGGGGTAGTATAAATTCTAGTATAAATTCTCAGAACAAGTCTTCAGTTTGTTCTTTCTTTCATGCGATTGGCCCTAGAACCCGTATGGTTAATATGGCTTTGTTTAATGACATCAATGGCAAAGAAGTATATTTTCTGCTCTCATGTATTTTCTTTGATTTTTCTAGTTCTTTTTTTTTTAGTAGTTTAAACTTGAAGCTGGATATTCTTACATTTATATGTTGTCTGGGGGCAAGGTTCTGATGCTATTTTTAATCTTCTTAATTTCAAAGGTGAGCTGAACTTTGATAATCTGAGCCCCCGTTTCATGTATTTTTCTCTTCAAACAGGCCAATGCCTATGATGCTACTAAATCTGATGGTTAGGAACTGGCAATCAAGGTTTATAAAAGATTTGTTCTTGTGTTAAAGTATGTATAACTAGCCTTTAGTGCTATAGTATAATGTACGATGTACCTCTTTAACTGAAGCTATTTTATATGGTTCGTCTTGAAGTAATTACTGAAAAAGCCAAAGATGTTATAGTTTCTCTATGCCACATGATTATAGCAATGAGGACACTATATCAAAAGTGCAAGCTAGTCCACGTCAAGAGCAACTTCAAATCAGTGTTACCAAATGGCGGCGCCATGGCGGTATGGCGTGGCGGATTTTTGACAATCCGCCATGCAAAATTTGTGAATGATGGCGATTGGCGACCGCCACGGCGGAATTTTGGCAAAACGCCATGTACCGCCATCCGCTATTACTAACACTACTTCAAATGCATATGTATATATATCGTATGTGTTGTTCGAAAATAAAAGTCAACAACTCAGATAAATATTCAAGTATAGTGTGTGTGTGTAATTAGGGAAGGAAAATACTAACATAGTTACACCCATGACTTTCCTTTTGGAAGTTCCAATTTCACTTGCAGTGGTATTGGCAGTGATATGACTTTTCTTTTGGAAGTTCCAATTTCACTTGCAGTGACATCGACATCATGTTAGTATTTTTCGGCCCTAATTACACATCCACACTATACTCGAGAATTTATCTTGACTTTTTTTTTTTCGTACAACATATAGGAATATAAGGTAGCATATGCATATCTTAGGGCTAATAGTGACTCAGACATCAGTACAATGTGAGGTCAATGACCTATTGCAACACAACTTAAAAGACAGTTTTTTTTTTTTTTTTTTTAATTTTTATTTTTTATTTTTTATTTTATCCTCTTCTTGATTTAGGGGCTGGTGCATTTGAAGATGCTCTTGCTGAGTTAATCATTTGTTATTTTCTCTTATTGAACTTTTTCTTTTTCTTAGTTCTGAATTCTAACATTTGGAACATAGAATATGGATATTTGTATTGGTTTTTCAGGGTCACTTCTATATAATTGATGTTTCACAAGCAGTTGATCTTAACCATCCTCATGCCCTTGATTTCCTTTGAGAGGATTTTGTCCACGTTTCAGGATGTAACTTTGTGATTGTCTGTTTTGTAAGCCTTCTTCTTTTCTTTTTGGCAAGTCATTTTGGAGTACATACAATAAAGTAACTCGAGTTTTTTTCTTCATTTTCATGCAGGATTTTTCAACAAACATGGCGTAACTGACTAACTGTAATGACAACTCGTGTGCACAATTCGATTTTATTGTGGATCCTACGATTCACTATGATTCAGTGGACAGTTATCTGGAAGAGGTATGAGCTAACTACATTCGTCAATCCAATTTCATCGCATAATTCAAAATTTCATCATATTTAATTTGGTAATAATTTCTTCACAGGTGCAACAAAAAAATCTCGCTAGAGGCTACATTATCTCTGCAGAGGAAGAAATTGCAGATTCTGTTTTTGTGCAGGTATGTAAGTAGCAGCAGTTAATCTAAATTACAAATGTGTATTGAAAGAAAATCACTGATGTTTGTGCTTATTGCACAAAAAACCCTGAGGTTTGTGAAAACTGCAGAAAATAGTTCAATTGTTGATACATTCACTTTGTGACCGAAAACCATTTCAGAAGTGCCTTATAGTTTAAGAGGGGATGAAATTCCAAGGGTTTTGTGCAGTGTTTTCAAATTAAATATTTACGCAAATTTCAAAGCGGTGGTTTATAAGCAGAAAAGACACAGAGGATACGATTATTCAAACTTATACAGTCCCGAATAAAAGTTGCAAGTTCATGTTATAGTTCATCATTTGTGATTTCAAGTCACATTATTACAGTCCCAAATTTTATCATTTTTCATCTGCAGAAGAGGCTGTTGAAATTTACAATGCCCATTGTGCTCGTTCAAATTTATTTATAGCTGAATAAAACCGAAATTTTTAAAACAAAAAAAGGGAAATATTATACAGCAAGAACAGCAGCCTTGTGCATATACCCACAAACTTTAAAGCCACTTCCTTGGTCTAACACAGTCCAGATTTGTGGTTTCTGGACTGAAACAATTGCCAGCATCCTGTTAGAATTCCTTCATTTTCTCTGCATTAAAATCAAATAAAAAAACCAAATCATTTTTAACTTAATCATTTATCTATATTGGGTTAGAGTAGCTTTATCATTTATCTATATTGGATTAGAGTACTATATGGGTGGTACATTAAAGGTGTGATTGGATATGGATCAAACTTAAAAAACCAATCATTTTTAACTCAATCACTTCTTTTAATTCAACTTTAACTCAATCCTGCCATCCTCAATATTATAAATATAATTAAATAATATCAATCAATCATTCTTATACGTTACATCAACTTTAATATATCATTCACCCATTCACATAATTTTAACTAACTATCACTTCACATTATCTCTCCTACTTTTACATCAAACCAAATGTAATTAATTTATTTTAAATATTATTTTAATATAAACTTAAACCTCTTTAACAGCGTCACATTTTTCGAAATTAACTATCATTAACAAAAAAAGTAAACAAAATCCAATCAAATCCATATCCAATGACACCCTAATCTGCATGGCTTCTCGGAATGCGGATTTGTTGAACACAAAAGAGGAAAAATGAACCAAGAACATTTACAATATATTAGGTATATTAAATAAATATTTATATGCCATGTAGGAAAAATACTTAGTTAGTGTAAAAAAGAAATGATTTTCAATTTGAGTAAAAGCAAATTGGGTCCAATTTAGGTAGCACTAAAAAAGATCCAATCTACTATTAAGTCGAGTAGAAATTCATAGGAGTATTCGTTTGGAATTTTGAATGACGTTTTAAAATTTGTGGATTTTAGTGATATCCTTAGAAACGATAAGTCTAGAGGTGGATTATATAAATCCTAGTGCATATGCTTGAGATTTAAAAAAATAAAAAAATAAAAAAATCTTACAAAATCACATATTTATTTAAAATTTGAAGAAATCTTAAAAAGTGATGAACTATTCAATGTATTTATAGCATGCTTGGATACAAAATTTCTCAAAAAATCCAATCATGTTTAACTAATCATTGTTTTTAACTCAAATCTAACTTAACTTTAAATTAACTCTATTATTCTCCGTATTATCAAATAATTAAACAATATCAATCAATCATTCTTAATATCACATCCATTTTAGTTCAATATCGATCCAGTCACATTATTTTAAATAACCATCACTTCACATCACAACTCTCATATTTTAAAATCAAATATACTTTAATTATTTTATTTTATATATTATTTTAGTGTAAATACCACATTTTTTTTAAATTAACCAAACAAAATCAAAAAAATCTTATATCCAAAGTTTGAATACATCGAGTAAGTATTCAAAGGATTTAAATCTACAAAACCTAATAAAATCTCAAAAAAAAATTGAATTTTGAAGTCTTAAAATACCACTCAAAATTTCAAACGAATACACACTCCGTAGTTTGTGTTTGAAATCTCACCAAAACTTAAAAAATATTAACAAAACTCATTGTTAAATACGTCTTTTTAAAATCTCAAATGTGTTATTTTAAGACAAAATTTGAAGTCTAACTTTATTAATCCCAAACTAATACATCGGTCTCTTTGTATTGAAATGGTTTTAGCTGTAGGGTTGAATAATAATTACAATAAAATATATTAAATTTTACGAAAATACTAGTTACCAACATACTATTAACGAAAAAAAAAAAAAAATACTATTAACGAACAAGAAGTTGAATAATAATGACAATAAAATCGTTGGGATTTTGTCCAAAAATACCATCTTTATATTTATAAAAATGCAACTTTTGTCTATTATGGCAAAAAATGTAGTTGAAAAATATTTCTGTCAACTGTCAACTGTCAAGTTTGTCATATATGTAAAGTACCACCAGTTTCTGGCGTACCTTTGGCTGCCACCGGTACTTCCCCGGCCGCCGTAGCTCCGGCGGCAACTGCTCCTGCCGCCACTACCTCTTCTAATTCCACTGCTCTCACTATCACTCCAGCAGCCAATTTTTTCTTCCGCCAATCCCTCTCAGGCTTTGGCAACACCCTCCCGCCAGATTTATTGCTATCGCCAATCTTCTTAATTCTCTTCGACTGCGAATTGAATTGAAAACCCATTTTGAGAAACAAACCCCTGTTGTCCTCGAAACCTTTCTTGCCCTGCATCTTCATAAAAACTGCCTTTCTCTGCAAAATCCGATCTTTACCCATATTTTGCACCTGGGGGCCTCGAATATTGCTTATTTCCACTATGTTGCGATGGTGCTCGACAAGATCTCGCAGAGATAGTTTGTACGATGATTCGGGCATGTTCTTCACCATCTCCATTAGCTCCCTTTGGCCATTGGCAATGGCTTTTCTTCTCGAGTTGCGTGGTGGGCCCGGGCTCGGGCACCATCCTGGACTTGGATTCGGGCTCGGGTTGATTTTCCATAGCAGCGGCGAACAGTCGCTGGAGCTGTTGAGTTCTTGATGGTTGTTTGGCCTGAATTGCAATATTTCATCGGAGGAGGACTGATAGGTGCAATTCCTGTTGTTCTGGAATTGGGGCAAATGAGTGATTTTTTTAGCAGATTTTTTTATTGTGCTTGACTTGTGATCATGTTGAGTTCTTGGATCAAGCATTTTTTTTTTTTTTTT